TACACCCAAAATAACCTGGGAAATTTCAAGCTATTGTAAAGGACACAGTGAAAGCAGAGGGTATGGGGTCTGTCTAGGTAAGGCCACCCTTACAACAAATATCTGTTGAGGTAACATGGTACAAATAAACCACAAAGTAGGTAGGTACTTTTATGGTCACACTGGTTATTAATTCTGACACAATATGGAGCCAGCCATCATGACTGACTGATTGTCAAAAAGTTATTTTTCTAAATAATTTAAACCTATTTGAGCTCTTAATGGTGAAAATAAAGAGCAGGAATCGACTAAACATGTAACCCGAACAAACATTTTCTATTTCAAATACAAATTCTATATATTTGTACGAGGATTTCGGCAAAACATGGCACTGGAAAATTTGGGGATGTTAAAAAAGTTTCGTACGGGTGAATGATTCTCATATCGTCAGGTTACTAGTCGTTACAGACTATTAGTCATTGCCTAAGGAGTACACACCCCAAGGTTTCGAATGTGGCTCCTATGTTAGCTGGTGACTCTGCTATGCTAGCAGTGTGGCACTTGGGTTAAGATTATGCCAAGATAGGTTAGAAGTATGCCACCTAAATTCGGTGCATGTCATGTGTGTCAGCCGAGTTAGTGACAGGTGAGATACAGGTATGTCACCCACGTCGGGGATGCGTCAGGTAAGTTTACTGTACATCTACAACCTATATTACAGGTGTACCACTTATCTTAACACTGAGACACCTAGACTAAGAACATATCAGCCAGGGTAGCAATAAGGTTAAGCATGCACCACTCAGGTTAGGTGTATGCTAACTGACTTAGAATTAAGACCATGTCCTGATAATACCCAATGCCCAGTGCTTTCTCTGTAACACAGCACACAGCAAACCACTGCTGCTCGCAAAACAGGTAAAACCGATTGTCTTTAACAAGTTGCGGCAACCAGCCACGCATTCCTGGAATACACGTGCCAGTTGTTAGGTGTCACCTATTATCGTTTAGTCAAAATGTTCTGTAACCTAGAGGCAAACACCCCAAAATCCATAGTTACTTGTTCGAAAAAGCGATACCGGGAGCCATTGGGAAATTCCTTAAATCCACTGGTAAGTAGGGCCAATTGGCTAAAAACGCTGCAGAATCTATTGGCAACCTGCAATTAAACACAACAGAAATAACATTAGTTATTTAACAACTCATTAAGGAAACGTAAATGGTACGCCTCTGCTGCAGCTGACCTGAAGGATAAAAACACATGAGAAACAACAGATATGAAATCAGGAAACAGAATATTCCTGCTAGCAACTCTTAGTACTGAATCACGACTGTGCTTGTCATTAAGGGTAGCTGCATAACATTAGCTAACAGAAAGAAAACAGAAAGCTAACAGAAAATTATGCCATTATAAATGCAAGATTATTACATATATTGTGACTGCCTGTCACACAGACCTACCGCATGACCTCAAACCAAGACTAACACCATTTACTAACACCCAACAGTGTCTTCCTTCAATGGCCAATTTTCCCACACTCTTCATGAGGCTACGTGATGCAGCAGCAGTATCTGTGCTATTCTATGCTACAAATGCAGCCATTCAGCCACTAAGACACCACCTACCTCTGGTTGGTAGTAGGAGTAAGAACAACATTGGTAGCAGCTGGATTGCTCCCTCTACAATTGCCTGCATCTAAAAGAAAAATCATAATACACACCCCGTTTATCTCATCACAGATCAAAGGGCTTAAGAGTTCTGACTTAGATGCAGTAATATGTAATAAAAAAAATATACAATACTGTAATTATTACATTATAGCATAGATAAAACTATTCTAGCACTTAGGCTAATGTACGACGAACGTGACACAGCGATTGCTGTTATAACGTCATTGATTGGATCAGAGACAACAGCATCGCCATGAGTAGTGTACTGTATTATGAAAACTTATAGATGGCTTTGGTGTCGACATATTGTAAAAACCAAAGAACCATCACTAATCACTAATTTGAAAACAGCCCTGCCAGAATCCACAAAGTAGCAGCTACAGAACCACTGTAGCTAATTCACTACAAAACCATGATCTACTCATATTATACCTTTAATATCTACCTTAGTTTAAACTCATGGCAATTTAAGCAAGCTGCTCAGTTTTCACAAAGTGCTAATTCACACTTGAAAAAATTCTACCTTTAGGTGTGAGCTCATGTAGCGGGCTGCTAGTGGCGAGCTGCACATCTGTACAGTTGGGTGTACCGGCTAGCTGCTGCCTGGCAGGTGGCGCCACTGGTCGACCCTGGAAGAAGTTGCCAATGTGCTGACACCGCACCAGTCGTTCCGGAAGCTCAACTATTTGCCTGTGATTAACAGCAGAAAAAGGTCATATGTAACGTATCCAGTACATACCTAAGAAACCATGTGCCAATATAAGTTACTGCCATGAATCTACGCACTCCCACCCCACCCTGATACATGACTAACCATGAAAAGGCAGCAAAACACTTGAGATACAGCATTTGCAGTAATTTGCAGTTACGTAGACATTTGCCTATATCTGCATATGCTGCAAGTGTGGGAGTTTCTAGTGTTAAACCGAGTTATTAAATAACCTTGATGCGCATCCAATAGTGATTTGCCTTAAATAATTGTTAAAAACAAATCAATAATCTCAAATAAAATAATGGCCAGCATGGAAATTGATCATTTGCTTAAATAGAGACCATTCCAACTACATTCCAATTCCACAAGCTTAAATCCTTACCAATACAATTACAATCCAACTTGACGTCGCTTACTAAAACACTAGCTGCATTTGAAATCAACACCTATCGTACGTGGCACGTATCACCTACCTAAAGTACTCCTGTATCTTTGGCAAGTACTCATCAGCACTCTCTTCTTTGTGACTCTGCAGCTGCCTGTAGCCTGTAACGGAGAAATATTCTATTACGTTCATCG